CGAAAAAGGAAAGAATGAAAGTGCAATGAACCGCAGCGGAACGTAGAGATACAGTGCCGTCGAACATTCCAATGGCATAAAGTTGACCATCGCAGCTCCATGCGCAGCAAAGACACCTACTTGATGTTCGTTGTTTACTAACACTTTTTTCCAGTTGAGTCCATATTCCTGGAGATACTTCTTTAGTTGAACTCACGAACTAATTAAGGACAAAGTCTTTGTATATGTATGCAAGCATAAAGCTTTCTAAATCCAATTTCTGAAGCTTCTGCTCAGTCCAAATTTCATTTGGAAAGAATATAAAGTGGCTGTATTTATCACTGTCATATTAGTTTTTTACAGTTGCGCAACAATTAAGAATAAGCGGTCATTCATCATATTAAACAACGGTTAAATTCAAGGGATTACCAAAATCACTGATGGCACAGCTAAGCAAAAAGCATGTTGCTGGACTAAAAGCAAGACATTGTATTGCTTCGTTGTGTCTAAAAATGACTTATTTGATAAGAATGAAAGGTCTTCAAATTCACATTTCAAATTCCTGTTATCTATATCTGCATTATAAATTATCAACGAAAACATTTCTGTCGCTGAGGTTATGTCGCTGTACTGAAATGCTGTATAAGAAACTAAAAGTTTTGAAACACGAAGAATTTAAATTCTTCAATATTTAAAAACTGGGCTGTCATTTAAATACAATACAACTATTTAACTGCATAAGTGATGCATAATTGGAGTTAATTACCATTTCAATGTAATAAGAGAAACAAATCTTATACATCACTTCATTGTGTTCAGTTGAGTTACGCTTTTACTTTATCTACAACGAATATAAAGTAAATAAATGAATATTAAGCTATAAATGGATTTTTGAAAAGAAAAAGATACATATATTTAAGCGTTCCTTCATGCTGCTCTGTCCATATAATAACGGAACGATCAGCAGAACCGGATGCAAAATTTTCGCCGTTATATGAAAATGCAACAGCATACACGAGATCTTTATGGCCTGTAGACAAAGCAAAGCCTTCATTTTGTAGTAGTTTTGCTTTAATTGGACTAAATTTCAAAAGGAACTGAACCTTTCAAGGACTGCAACAATGTTCCATCAGAACCGTCATAAATCAAAACTTTCATATCAGCTGCAACGAGTAATTCCGATCCATCTGGTTTAAAAGCCAGATCATAAACGCAGCACCTAAAATGTACTTAACAAAATCATCCATAGAAAAACAGACCTCCGTCAATTTATAAAAAGCAAGGAATATGGTAGTTAGAAAAGTATGAAGCACTCAAAGTCAAATAATGGAGGATTTTGGCGAACTATTCTTTCACTCATTTTTATTTTCATGCTCTTTTAAAGCATATTTTTAATGAGTTTTGTTAATTGATTCATAAGTTTATTGCTCATCTCGTTGTAACTTCGTAAAAGATAAGTGTTAGCATAATTTAAAATACTGACATTTCACTGGTTATAAATTATCAGACTGCACAATTAAGATGAATAAGATATATATATATATATATATATATGATACGAGGTTATCATTGCAAACAACAATGTACAAAGAAGAATACATAAACCGGGGGCACATGTGGCATTTCAGGACCGCACTTAATTTCATTATCAATGCTTCGCATATAAATATGAAAAAGCAAGAAACAGCAATATTCAGTTATGGTCCTAATCCATGCTATTCTTCTGATATGCAGCTTAACACAGGTAGTTTACTTTTTCTTAATTAATATCCACATATCCACAAACTGCTGCTCTTTTATATACTTTCTTCACATCGGATTTCTTCAAAAGAATCGTTCCTCAGGGAATTAGCATCAGTTAGCAAAGCTATTTCCTGATTTATTTATTTCTGACACAGATTACAATTGCTGCACAACACGATACACTCTTATCATTTCATTCCGTTATCAATAGCCCATCAATACTACTTGTTACACTAATACACCTCCTAAGGACAGATTATTATTCATAATTTCAATCAAAAATAAAGTAAAGAGAACATTGCCCACCCTTCCTGAAAGGTACATAAATATAGAACAAATTATCTCTCTTAATTCCACAAAGGGAGTGTTGCCATACCACTTCGAAATTTTAAAAGTGAAATAATACATTGAGAAATCAATTCAATGGTTGCCTTCATTAGACCTTTAAATTATTTGAGACAATGAGAAAAACAAGCAAGTAAGCAATGGGACAATGTAGATCTCATAATTCTTAAATAAATCCCAAGTTGAAAATTCCACAGTAACAATTTCTTCCTTTCTTATCTAGTTCGTGTTACTGTTTTCAAGAACAACGTTCATGCTTATTCGAAATCATTTTTATCTTATTTCTTTTGCCCATATTCCCCTTATCATTCAGCAATTAGCTTACAGTCACGTAACATTATACATATCACATGTTCGAAAATTTGCATTTCCTTTACTGCAATTTTTGATACCATATGTCAGTGGTGTTGATGTTGATGGACTTAAACTTTAAGCTTTGATTTTATGAATACGGAAGAAAGCTAGAAAAAAAAAGAGAAAGTTTCAGATGGCTAGAAAGTAAGCTAATTTATGAAATTTTAAGGTATCAAGTGAATGCTGCAGAAACGGAATCACATCAGATTATTGTATTATATTCAACATGCTTTCGAGTTCACAGCAAGCTGAAATAAGGCAATATTTTGGGCACGATTGTCAAGATGTTGATGAAGCAACTAGAAAAATTGAAAAAAGAAAACCAAATTTCATTCGATTTGGCAGAACTGGTATATCTATCTAATTTATTCCAAACTATCTCATGCAACAGTAAATTCAAAAAAAGACTCCACTGTAACTTCCCGAGACATGTTTAGCATTCCAACAAGCCTATTTCCAAATTCTCACCTTTCGACATTCAGTCAGATGTTCGGAACGCATTTCTAGATATTGAGTTTTACATTTTCGTTTTTTTATAAATTAGCGTCAAAGCCATCATTTAAGAAAAACGAAAAAGAAATAAAAGAGGTATTCAATACCTAAGTAGTCTGGAATTTATTTCACAGCAAAGTACAATTTCCTATTTACTACTTCTTATACGAAGCACTATTTCGTATTTCAGCACCACCAGCAATGTACGGAAAAAAAGATGTTGACCCGAAATTTTTACAATTTGGACATTCATCAAGTGCATTTATACCTAGCGGACAAAATTTTCTTCGATTTGGAAGGGCAGCTGAACCAAATTTTCTTCATCTTGGTAAAAATAGATCCAAAGATAGAATCAAATTTTGGTACTTAACCAATCCATTCCTATATGTTGTCCTATTTCTACATGTATCTTAAATCCATTCCTACATATACCTTAGTTTGAGACCAGTTGTACCAATAGCGCCGGATTCTATTGTATTTTTGATGTCCCATATTAAATTTACTTTTCAAAACGTATTAAAGAAATATTTGGAAATGACAAAAAGTACCTTTTCAGGTCGCGTAACAGACCCAAATTTCTTAAGATTTGGCAAATCTGCTGAACCGAATTTCCTTCGATTCGGAAAACGCACTGAAGTGGGAGACCCAAATTTTCTGCGATTCGGAAAAAATAGCTCTTCCCAATCCACTCCAGATAACGAAGGATTCAGCCGTCAAGACCGAAAACCTAATTTCCTACGCTTCGGTAAATAATGCAAAAAAACTCACATCCTGTGTTACCTAGATCATGTTTGGTGCAGCAGCTGAGAAGGAATAAATATTGCCACCATAATGTTGGCATGACATCAAATAATTACTCAAATATAAGTAGTTGCATTTTATCAATTGAAGCTAACCTGTGACACCAAAGTTTCAAAGGGATGAATTAACAGTGTCTTACTTTATTTTTGCGAAATAATATTTGCTTAGCATTTTGAGAACTGATAAGTGTGGTAAATGGTGCAAAAATGGTGACGAAAAAAATTTCAGTCCTCATTTTTGTCCAGCCCTGAGTAACGTTGATGAGCTTATCGTACGTAAATTGCTCACTGCTACTATGACTATTTTCAATTACTCTATCCTACTATTCTGCAGTGAACCGCGTTTTTGTGATTACTTCGCTGTAGAAAGCAGAAATAATATGGTCCTTTAGATTATACAAAATCGAAAAGGAAACACTATTACAATTAACTGTCTCTCAATTATAACCACGATCTTTAGTTGGTCGTTCCCAAAATTAGGAGAGATGGAGAATGGAATGCTACAAATTCTTGTCTTGAAGTCTGGAACGACCGTTTTCAGTGTGCAAATCCGCAATGTCATTTAATTATACTTGTACACTAAGAAAAACAACTTAAAACTGGCCGAAAAACAAATAAATAAATGGATAAAAAGATCATAAACAAACCCCGTTTCGCTATCATCTTCGGACACTTTATCAATCCACTGTAATATCGGTCGCATAGGTTACGAGGTAGTTGAAATGCAGAAAAATGTTTGGTTGTTCCCATAGCAACTCCTTCCCTTATTAGAAGTCATTTTGAGTACTTAATGATCTGGTATATTTTTAATACTGATCATTTCAACCTTCATTAGCTATCAGAAACTTTACATATTAAATAGAAACTGACGGACAACTGAAACGACATTTACTCATCAAAGTTGCATTCTTATTATTTAAAAAACTGATGCTTTGTATTGATAATACGATTATTCGAGATAAATATACGAAATCTGCTCTATTCTGCTTTTCTCCGTAGGGTAAGAACAGATGAACAATGAATACTAATCAGCAGAAAGTTGATAAGGAATAAACGAAGAAAACCACTCCTTATCATTTCTATTATTTGCATATCCAAAGTGACTGAAATCAAAGGGTTAGTTAATTAATAGTTCGCATTTTTATGTCTGAAAAACTAAACTTTCATATCGCCCATGTAGTTCGAATGCGCCTCTAAAATTCGTTAAGGACAATATTCAGACTTGAAGATGGTGGCGCTTTGGAGCGCACTGAATTGGATGTGATCGGGGTGCTATCCAGAGGTGGTATGTATGTTTATCTGTTACCATTCACCGTCCGAAAGCAGTTGGCTGCCATTTTGGATACTGATAACGCGTGGGAACTGCTAGGTTTGTTATTATGATCATTTTTATATTTCAGAGAAAAAGAATTTCAGTAAATCTGAGTGTCAACTTCAAGGTCACGGCTTGCATAGCTGTAAAATACAAAGTCGTGTTTATTAAGAAACAGATTCTTCTTTTCGCATCTTTTGTCCAGTTATATGTTTTTTAGCGTTTGTAATGCCGGACATTGAGAACGCAGATGTACGGGCTTGTCGAGATGTAGGATCTTTTGAAAGTCCGACAGAGAATCTTCTGGCAATATGGGGTTCAAAAGGAAACAAGGTAATTCAGCTTTACAATTGCCTTGGTCGAGCAAAACTTGTTCGTGCGATGAAAGCAGTGCGTCATCTAGGTCTGTTTTTCCTGACCAATTTCTTTTTCTACTGTTAGAGACCACAGGGTTTGACAAGATTCTGGTTGTAGCACCCGTGATTTAAGCATGAAGTTAAATGATTTATGCTTGTCCTGACTTGCATAACTTTTAAATTTCAAAATTTTTACTTTTCTAATATTGACTTTTTTGATGAGTTTTGATCAGTACCCATCGATATGAGTACAAGAAACAAAACTTGCCAACCTCAAATTGATATTTAACAAACTATTTTTTTTTTTTTCAGTAAATCCGTTATTTTATTGTTGGGAAGAACAGTGCTTGCAATCTGCAGATGAAAACAGTCAAAAAAGTGATAAAGCAATAATCTCTCGCTCTCGCTGTTCAGCCAAAGTATGTTAGGACAATGTGTTACGACAAGTATTTCATAATTTTGTTTTTTAAATTTTTCTGGAAGGCAACAAAACTTTAAATAATCTGTTGAATTTTGATATGTTATAGAATGGCGATATCACAATACCGTGCTACAAAGAGACGCCTTCGGTAAAATGCTCAAATAATATGAGATGGTTAAACCAAGAGACTGAGTAACTGTTTCTTAAATTTAAATATTTGTTTTGAAATTAACAGAATCTATGTGGATTTACAGTCCTGCGATGTCCGACTCATTTCAGTACTTATGCCGATTCACATGTAATATATAAAACTCTCCAAAATACGCCGTGCATTAAGTATAATGACATTGTGAGAATTACCAACAATTTTTCGTTGGAAAACATTCTTGGTAGTGGAGGTTACGGAACGGTTTATAGAGGAACGTGGGAAAAAACAGTGGTTAGCATTATATTCTTGGCATTTATGACATAAAAGAAGAAAATGCAACAATAGATTTTAGCTTTATAATCAAAGCTAAATGTAATCATTATTTGGCTCTTTGGGAGTTTACACGGCACATTTTAGGTTGCAGTGAAGCGTATACAGGCTGTGAAGGAGTGTGGACATGAGGTTACTTCTAGTTTTATATGAAAAGTATCATTTTTCGATTTTTTTAATAATTTAGTTTTGTTGAAATTGTAGAAACCCAGAATTAGGTTCTTCAGAAAGAACAAATTCGTCAGAGTTTACAAGAACTAAGAATGTTGTCGAAATATCGACATGACAACATTCTGCCACTTTATGCGTATTCACTTGATGGTCCTCAACCTTGTCTGCTTTACCAGTACATGAGAAATGGTTCATTGTTTGATTGCCTTTTTAGAAAAGTAAGATTTTATGGTTTTTAGTTCTTATGTTTTATAGTTTTGTACGGTGCTTGATAAGTATGAAGGAAAGATTTTAATCCCTTCGCCATTGTTTCCTTTTGATTAAAATTATTTTGTAATGAAAGGGTCAACTTAAGTACTTCCAATCGCTCATATATAAAGAACACTCAGATTAATACTTCCATGATTGCTGAAAATATATTACAATTTAGATGATAAGTTATTATAGAGGACAGTTTTTATTGCCAGTTTTTCTTGACTGATAAATCATCTGAAGGTTTATTGTTGTGTAATTTTCAAACAAAAACCAAAGTTTATTGTTGTGTAATTTCGCAGGAATCCGTGGTTCTTACCTGGTTGCAACGTTTATCAATAATGATAGGTTGTGCTCGTGCTCTACATTACCTGCATTCTGTTGCAAAGAATCCGATAATTCACGGAGATGTTAAATCAGCAAACATCTTACTTGACAAACATTTTGAACCAAAATTAGGTGATTTCGGTTTGTGCCGAGATAACTTTTCAAAAGTTAGTGTATACCGATTTAATTTTTTTTGATAAATGATATAGAAATTTCGGAATGGTGTTTTTATAGTTGGTTGAGAATTTGGTATTGAACTATGAAAAATCATTTATTATGATGGTAAAAGAAATGTATAAATCAGGATAATTGGAGAGATGATGATTTCGTTACCGCCTCTCACGTAAAGGGAACATTGGCATATCTGCCGCAAGAGTTTCTGACGGAGTTAGTTGTTTATAATACTTAGTAATTAGAGCATCTTTTATGAAAGTCTTCATGCATCCTTCTTCGAAGTATTTTATTATGGCGAAAGCCAAATAGTAGGAGTTGGTATATTTATTAATGCTGTGGCACGCGCATGATGTTTATTCAGGAGAGTAATTAGTACGAAACTCGATGTATACGGTTATGGTGTAGTTTCATTAGAAGTTTCCACGGGATTAAAGCCTCATGTTATGAAACGGTGTCCACAAAATATCGTAGAATATGTTATGGATCATCAAAAATCTGGAAAGAATGAAAAGATTTTGGCTGATTACCAATGCAATTTTACCAGCGGTTAATTTTTCACAAAAATTTATTTTCATGATTGAATTTATTATTCTGCAATGTCAATTCGTAAATGTTTATTTATAGATGGAAAATGTTTGAAATTTGTTATTGTTTTTTATTTGTGAGAGTGTTTCAGATTTAGACGCCGGTTACTTCAGTCTTATTTTACAAACTGGGTTAAAATGTGTTGTGCAAGATTACCGAAAAAGACCATCATTTCGAGAAATTATCAATACCTTCCTGTATATATGTAACAGTGTTTAGTTAGAGCTTGTAGAAGTGGGAACGGAGTCTGATGTTTCCTATTTTAAAAGCTGTTGTATTTATGTCAGAACTTAATAAATTTAATTGTTATACTCAAGTTATATCTTGCTGTTTAATGCTCATCGAGATTTTTTTCTGCAATCTATGTTTGATGTGCGTGTATGCTTGTATTAAACTGTCACGAAGTTGTATTGTGAGCGGAAATTGCTTTTCAAATAAAGATGGTAATAAATTGCTTGCCAGTTATTTTAATTAGATTTCCACCTCTCAGTTGGTCTGGCTTTAACCAGAATTTCCTGATGTTGAAGGAATGAATATTACATAAATGCGCAATGAACAAAATTCGTTGATAAGCGAGACTCTTCCAGTTATGCACACTGATAGTTCTGAACAACCTGCATCAGTTTGCATGGAAATCCGGATGACGGAAGATGAGTTAAGACGAGTGTCCTCTGTAGCATTTTGCGAAACTTGTTCGCGGACATTTGCGAACAAGAATGCATTCCGTCTGCATCAGGTGAAAACGCATAATAGTATATGTGGGGAAGCTGATTCGGCTTTATTTCATCGGAAACGAATTACATTACGTGAGTCCACTGTTTGCGGACCTTTTTCTTTTTGGTTTCCTTCCAAATGGTAAAGCAACCAAGTATCTAAACTGAATTTATATTTTTCAGAAGCCCAGAAGCACTATCTCTGCCCTGTTATTGGTTGTCGATATAACAGTGGTCGTTTTTTCAATGCTTATAAACTTCTTCATCAGCATTTTTTCAAAGTTCACGAGGAAAAGCGTTTTAGGTATATATATATTTTTTTTTTGTAGTTATATATATATTTTTTTTTCTAGTTTGTTTTTGTACTGCTTTTTCTGGTGGTTGTTTTATAGTTGTGCTTACAGATGCGATAAATGCAAAACAGCAAGATTCAGTTTGCAGCGTGACCTACTGTACCATCAAAGAAAACGATGTCTATTAAAAGGAGGAATGTCATGTTATTTTTTAGTATTGTTTCGGAAGGAACATGCTTCCATTACTAATTGTGTCTCGTTCACTGTTCTAGAATGCCCTTTGGTTCTTTATGTATAATGTCCTACAAACTGTGTATTGTATTTATAGATTGTAGTACTCATACATCAACATTAGCTGGAATGAAATCATGTTGTCCAGAAATAGAAAGGTGTTCGAGAAAACAACTTATGACAAACCATTATCAAAATATAGTCTCTACAGCATCTGAGTTAGTTGGCAAAACTTTATTTTCTCATGCTTATGACTATTCTTAATGTAGCTTTTCAGGAATAAAGTCACAAATATCGTCTTCATCAATGTGAATATGCTCCACGCAAGTCGTGCACCATCTTTCAGAGAAATCCACCCAAAACCAACGTAAGTTACAATTGATTTTTGCGCATGATGTAAATCAGTGATATAAATTGTTTCACGAGTAGAAGAGAAACCAGTATTCTGATCGATGGTATTCATTATTGTTTTTGTATTATGCGAAATATTATTCAGATGTATGGCTTCATGAATTTTATGTGACAGAGAATTGTTTAATTTCATTCACTAAATAAGATAAAGCTATTCATTCTCGGTCTCCCAAAGCGTTGATCACAATTGTTCAGAAGTGTTCATCGTGGCTTTATATTTGCATTAATTTGACTTGAGTAAGCTAACATTCCCACTTAATTTTAATCACTACTGCCGGTTTCTCGCAGCATTCAGTTGTCTTTGTCTTCTCTTATATATTTTTTGCCATCTCGTGGCAGTTTAAACTGTTTTATGTTGCACAGTGTTGGTGTTGAAATATTTGCACTAAATGTATTATCTCCTTTTTGAACAATTATGAAAGGATATTCAACGAAAGAAATGATCAATTACTGGTTCACATCTTTTATTCGTGGTCCTACAGATAGTGCACGATTTTTCTCGCGATATTTAAATTGACTGAAACAATTCTTTAGATTTACATAAGACACCAACTTCATGATTCAGATATAATATGAATATTAACGAGAATTACTGAGTACTTTCTAGTTTCCCTATCAATTTCGGAGTGGAACACAGGAGTTTGAACCGAAGCTTCAAATTCCATGTCCCACCTGGGAATTGATTTGGGAGACTAGAAAAAAAAAAGAAAAAACTCCTGTGTTCCTCTTTGCCATCTTCCGAAAACATTTTGTATAATTATCATTTGGACGTATTTTCAATACCTTTAATTTCAGCTTTCGGGCAACAAAGAGCAGCCAAACAGATTATGTGGAATGCTGTGACAGATCGGTTATGTGTGATGCAGGTTCACAGACGACTCAGTGGAGTGCCTGCGAACTCTCCGCATCGGTAAACTTTTCAAAACTCTGACCTTAATTTGTAATTATTAGAAATTGTGCAACAGTCATTTTCTAGGTATTACACAAGTATAATGATTTCCACTGTCAAACGCATAATGCAAGAGGGGTTGAGTTTGGTACGCAGATCTATCCAGAAGACGTAGCAAACGATGATATCAATGTAAAACACAATAAGACACACAGTGACTTCGAATTCGAGGATATCTGGCGTCATATCGAAACACAAACTTCCACTTTTACTGGTAATGATGCACGAACGCAGACGGCTATAGACTTCATGGATAATGCAAGCATGACTGACTGGGATCTGCTTATTTGAAGTGTCTGAAGAATTATAGCTTAGGCGAATCGTTGGTCAATTTGCTACTTGAAACTATATTACTTGTAAGAAACTTATAAGAAACCATGAGAACCTTATTTTGAAATAATGAGTAGAGACATTTGAAAAATCGCTACAAATCTTTTTGCCCTTTTGATCCTTCAAAAAACTGTTGTAGAAAACTTTCGTAGAAAAATAAATCTAATTATAAATTCATGTCATGTCACGAACGTTCAGATAACATTGTTGGATTTCTAAAAATCCGTAAGTCTGCAAGCTGAACAGGATTGCAAGTATTGAAGGCAACATATCCAACCATTCAAAATTGGAAGAATCTAAACCCAAAAGTTTCGGCATATCTACAAAAAAAAAAAAAAAAAAAAATGTGATAGAATACTACAGAATAAATGTATAAGACATTCTAATGCTTCCTTTTCATGTGCTTTTTCAGAATAACTTGAGAGTGCATCAAAAGCATTGGCGAACTAATTTTGGTTGTGAATTACCTAAACCAATATTCACATATTGATGAGAAGATAATACTATCGAAAACTATTTAAGGCATATCTTCAAATAAGAAATTCAGCACTTCGTGATGAGGTAGCAAAAGATCACAGTATTGTTGGATTCTCTTCCAGAATAAGTCGGTCAATGAAACTTTGCAGAGGTGTTAGCTGCTCTGAATCAATCAAGTCAAATTCTTGTACAAAAAGCATGAAGTGTTTGAAGCTGGTATTTAAATGCTCTATTGCATTAAGTTGTTCTGAAATGCAGGAAAAAAATAACGGTTCTCACTCAAAGGCATTTTTGTTCAAAGCATTTATATCCCAAAAAAAGTTGTAGGACCTAGCAAACTGTACGCATTTAACCAGGTATAGAGTAGTTTTATTAACTGTTCTCACGTTACTGGGAAGAACAAAACGCTATCTTGGGACCAAATACAACAATCCAGCTGCAGAACTTTCGTCTCAAATCCTACAAATATGAATTACTTTGTTCCTATACTGTACAGCTTATACTGTCTGACAACACTGCTTTGCAAGCTTCATACACATTGTGCAAGTGTTAGGTATGCATCAGTCTGTAAACGATGAATGGTTTTACGAATTTTGGAACAATCGAAGTTACATACCAATAAGTTCGAGATGTTGGTGATACACATGAGCATAAACTCGAAATAGACGTTTCACAACCGCTTGTGCGATATGCAAGAAGTTTGGCGGGAAAGGCTGTCCTGAACTCAGGTTATGCTATTGAAGTTATAAGGAAACGTGTGACCATAAATCTAAATGTGCATACAAACCTACCTGAACTTGTTTTGATAAATGTTTCTGAAGTACAAGCTGAAGGAAACTATTCCATATAAAATCTAGCAGGAGAAGGAATTACCAATCTGAGACGGGAAGATAGTCTCGTCATCTAGTTGCTCGTGCACCCAAGTCATCAAATAATCGATATACATAGGTGCTGGACATGCAACTGTTTTTCTCCCATCCGACCAAACGTACTCATATCTCGAACCCGCAAACATCCTAGGGCAAGATTCCTTCGTACAGTGATCACTTATTGTCCCAAACAACATACTCACTTGGTTGAAAAAGTCCAGAACTGAAAAACATAACTGTGATTCACCTCGAACTGATACAGTCTGTTTCCACAATTCCTTTCGTTTTGCTTACTATGAATGTAGAAAAATACCAATAGCTGCAAACTACAAGAGTTGAACTGCTTCTGGAATACTACACTCCTTAGTAAAATTCCTGATTATGAACAGAAGCACACGTACCATTTACAGCGATCCATTCGTTAGGATCTTCACCCTGTGGCAATTTTACAGCTTCACGCAGATTCCCACTCCCCAAAGTCGCTGATGCATACCTCAGCAATTCGTTCTGTTTATCTACATGACGCAATCGATGCATTAGCGCTAAAGCATGATATCAAAAGAACACGACACTAAACCATAATTTATAAATCCTACGTGATACAACCAACTCTACTAAATAAATTCGTTCTGAAATGGCTAAGCTACTTCCTACTAGCCAACATGGTAATTAACGGCAATATGAAAAAATATTGATGGATCCAGATGTCAAAGCAACTACGAAGATAGCGACAATCATATGAAACGGGTACATCTTTTGTACAAACTTTTACGATTAAATGAAATATCAGAGATTGACTTAAATTACTATACAACGCCGGTAGGAATATATAAAATATAAATCTCATAGAACAATAAATCTATACATTCCAAACAACATCTTCGTGAGCATGTGAAACAGTCTCAAATGAAGCGCATACAAAATACATGCCACGTGCAACTGGCATACGATACTACTAACACCGAAAGCGGTATTTAAAAGACAGTCACATCATGTAGGTGCCAGCTGGAATGTTTTAAAATAATAACAATTGATCCATTTAGAAATCCTTTTGGAATCATTCAGAAAATGTGTCTCTCGACTGTAGTTTCAGAAAGATAAGTTCTTCAAATGAAAACAAAGAAAATTGCCCAATCAGTTAACAAACATAATAGTACTCAACTTACCTGCATACTTAAAGTAAACCCATTTTTGGTGGATAAGTGTATTATAAGAATCATGCTTTATACAACATGAGAAATTTTAAATCACAATAAAACAACGGTTACCTCATATCTATGGGGTCAAAGACCACAATAGGCCAAACCCGAATACCAAATTTAATGAACAAAATGTGATCTCTTACTTGAAAAATACAGATTATGTACATTTAATCTTCTGTAAAAAAAAAAAAAAGTTTGCTACTAAACCCTTCTTAATTATACGTTCTACATACAACAAAATAACAAATTAACTTTCAACCTTTAAAACACTTCTGTAGACGGCTTTTGATAATGCAATAAAAAATCTTCACAAGGTCGATTAATTTGAGAAATTCTTGTATATCTTTCCATAGTATTATAGGATGTGCCAGCGAGAGGTGAAAAGCAGCCTTTAAACTCAGGGTAACGAATAACTTAGAAGTTGCAAGAAAAAAAAGACGACAACAAGATTAGTTAAGAAGTAATCCTTATGCATCCAAGCCAACCGCATCCGTGCTTCTTTCGCAATATTGATTTTAGTAATGAAAAAATAGTAACAACTCCACTGTTAAAAAAAAAAAAAAAAAAAAAAAGAAAAAAAATTACTGTTAATATAGCCCGTGACCAATGTCTTCAGTCACAAAATAACATTGTATTCAAATGAAAGATAAATCATATTTTTGAATAATGCATGCCCGGATTTTATTTTTTTTAAAAAAAGAAAAAAGAAATTAAGCATTCTCTGGCACGAACATTAAATAGTAGCAGAAAAAACTGATTTCCTGTTAATTCAAAGAAAATAGTCAGGCGTTCGCCTAGTTACGTGTGGTTCTCCACGACGAGGGGCAGGATCAAACTGCAAAAACGAATATTTGAGTTCGTCATCCAATTCAACCATCGCTGCCTGGTTTCCGCATCGATAACAATAATTGGGAGCTGAGAAAACAGTAACAACATTGCGATCGTGGCACCAGTTATAACCCTGAAAAACATTCAAAATATCTAAAACAATTAAAAACGAATCTAGTTGCTTACATGACAAAGTGCTACTATAAACTATTACTTTATTAACCAAGAATCAGTATAAAAACAATTCATAAACTCGAATATCTTTCAAAACTAAAAGTTGTAATGTATCAGTGGAATTCCAAAGGAAACTTTTGCCTAACAATATAACTCTAAAAAGACATTACTTTCGATGAAAGTGGAAGAGCCTGTAGTGCATGCTAGATAAAGTCTTTAAACTTTTCAGCAATTTTATGGAGTAACCTGAGTGTTATTTTAAAAAGGTCAGCAGGAAATTTCACAATTTTTATTACACTCATGCACTGACTCCATAATAAATTTATTTTCGGGCAAACTTCAACGAACCATCCCAAATATTTGAGTTCGTTATCCAATTCAAACATCACCACCTGGTTTCCGCATCGATAACAATTACTAGATTGAAAATATACCTCCATGACCAACTGGTGAGCCCTTGAGATAAGCGTGAGACCATTAGAATGATTGAAAGTCTCCGAAATGTCTTGACCAAACGTATATCCTGCTCCACGTGGAGAGATACCCCAGCCACCACGATCATCTGGATCGGACCATAGCAGATCACACATAGGACCTAGAACAAACATGATGTACAATAAACAAAATATATTTTGAAACAAAAATAGTCAACACAGCAAAAAAAGAATTAACGTGAATGCAGTTCATGGTTACCTTCATGAGGAACTTCCTGTAGTCTGTCCAAAGCGCGAATATGGTCAAGACTGTCAATAGACGGCGAAAGACCACCGTGTAAACAAAAAATTTGACCATCCACCAACGCAGTTAATGGAAAATAGTCAAACAAGTCAGTAAAATGCTTCCAAACATTCGAGTTGCCATATTTACGAAGACATTCATCGTAAAACCCGTACACCTGAAAAAACACCTGAACATAGACTCCCAACACCTAAAAATGCAAATATCACAAAAATATTCTGCAAATATTCAGCTCTTGAAACATTCTGAAAAATCTCATCATATTTCTGTAACTGATACGAATAAGAATACCTGCGTAATTTGCCGAGATTCATGGTTTCCACGCAAAATAGTAACACGCTCCTTGTATCTAACCTGAAAAAGGCCTTTAACAGAGAATCGCAACTGAAGAAAGTGTTTTTAAGTGATAAGACGAAAGAAGACCTGAAAAGTCATATGGCCGCAAATAAAAGCACTGTATCTGATAAATGTGCTTCGTTGAATACAAAAAGAAAGGAACCGGAAACAAACGAAACATGAAATCATAAGATTTCCGAAAACAGCATTTTCTGGCAATTTCTAAATCAATTACTTCGTTTCTGACCCCTGCGATTGAAAAAAATCAAGAGCTTTATCGCAACAAACCAATAAGAAAAAAATATTTTGAAAAATGACCTTTAGACAAACCAGCAGTGACACGGTTTCGACGGAATAATAGCCTCTATCAACGTAATCACCCATAAATAGATAATTAGTATCCGGCGACTTTCCTCCCATCATAAAAAGCTCCATTAAGTCGTGGAACTGCCCATGTACATCACCACAAACGGTCACAGGACATTTCACCTCCTGAACATTACATTCCTTCTGTAGAATTTCTTTCGCCTGCAATGCTTGATTAAAAACATTCTCCTAATCTGGGTTTATCAATACTACGTGTTACATACGATACAGCTGTGGGGCTCCAAACATTTTGTCTTACTGCAGCAACCATTACAAGATTCATATAAACTAAAACCTTGGTAGTTTGAGTCTATCACTAAATGATTTTCAGAAAACATGCAGTTTAAAAAATAATAAATTATGCACCTTGCTTCTACTCAGTACTTTTTATCTAACATTCTTCATCTAATTTTGGCCGTCTGGGCTTACCTTATCACACAACGTCTTAACTTCAGCTTCAGTGAGCTGCTTACACTCGTAAAGCTGCTCGATCCATTGGTCAACTTCCTTCAACATGGGTCGATCAAAAGTATCACCAGTTGTTGATGGCGCACCTCCACCTGAAGCCGTCATTCTAAAAACCCTCCTTCTGAAAATAAATAAATGAAATCTGTTGGCAACTTGAGACCTTGTCAAATAGTAGTCTAAATCAATAACGCGCGTGTTGAAAGGTGATTCTGATCATCTGAAAATTGTGATCTTGAAACGATTGATATATAGGACCCTTGAGTTTAGAATATACAAAAGGATCCATCCCAAAAGTTAAACAAAATGACCAGCGAACAAAACGCAGAAAACAATGAAACAGAATGAATACTCAATCTAAAACGTAATTTCGTCAGTAACACGTACAGATACAAGTTATGTTGTGTTTCGAATTTTAAAACAGTAGCATAAAGTGCACGAAACTAAACTAATCTCAAAATTCTGCCATACTCCTTACAAAACGAATACAAATTACCAGGTTCAAGAAGGAAATCACTTTTTTTCTTTTACTGGATTTTAATCCAGAATATTTAGAGAGACACAACCAACGGTCATAACTATGAAGATGATCATTAACCAATTTCCCAAATAAAATACATTCATTATCAATGAATTCACAGCTAAAAATCCATAAATGTCTTGGAAATCGGCGAAAGAACTCATTCCTTAGCTAGCGATCTGTTTCATTGATCAATTTAAATTAGCCACGAAAGAACCCTAACACTTTTGTTACCAGTCATAAAAGGGAGCAGTCTTTTATCATAGCTTTTCAACATTCCATAACTCTTTTAAGCTAGACCGCAACTTCTCCAGCTTTCACTTATTCTCGAACAAAATATCTAACAGTAAATTACACAATATCTCAGCACAAGGCACCAGTACAACAGATTTCATACTGTTACTATTAGAGTAGCACATATTGGGACCATTTCAAAAGTACCCGCTGCAAGAGCGTGAATGATGTGAGCAATAATAGCAGCACTGAACCCGCAAACCTAATTCTCACCTAACTTGTGCCGTACTGGAATAGTTTTCATGGTGCGGGATACGTGGCCGACCTGTTAATGGACGATTACACTGAAAACACACACAAAAAAAAACTGAAAAAAGAGTAGGAGAATTCAAAACAATCGCGAATTTCGCAAACATATTTGAATGTACTCTTTTGTAAGGCTAGAGTTAACTTTCAGAGTATATGTTAGTGAAAAGGTGGAACACTCCAGAACGTCACGTTTCACATCATGCTTTAGCACGCCATAATTCACATAGCGAACGCTAAAAAGTTTGTTTATCTGCCTCAACATTTCTTGGCAGTCGTAAAAGTCAAAAAATTGAGATTTCTATAGATCAAGTTAATAAGTTCATATTATTTAACTACTTGTGGGTAGCATGACTCTGATCGTTGTT